TTTTTATATTTCAAAAGTCTTCCTTTTCTCCCCCACTTTTTCCTTTACATTCTTTATTTTTGATTTCCAAAATTTGTGTGCTTACATGCTTTTCTGCTTATTTATCTAACTCAGGGCATATTGGACTTGCTGAGTTGATATTCAAGCTTTGTTGTTTTGCCATTTACCAACTTTGGTAAGTTTTTTTTGTGATCTTTCCTTTAGGTACTTTCCCACTTCTTCACTTCTAATAATCCAATTAAACATTTCAGACATTTTAATATAACCTCACCAGTTTCTGCAGCTTATTCATGGTCTTTAGTCATCCCCCTTCCAATTGGATAATTATACTTTACCTATTTTCAAGTTTAATGATTATTTTTCTCCATAATTTTCATTTTGCAGTTAAACCATCTATTTAGTTCCTTGAAATATCTGAGTTTTTTAATCTCTTAGGTATCTTTCCTTTTATTCTATGTTAATTTCCTTTACTTCAGTGAGTAGATTTGCAATGTTCTTTTAATTTTTAATGAAAATTGCTGCTCATTGGTAATCTCGGTGTTGAACTGGTTTTTCATTTTCCTGGTTCTTTATTTTTATGAATATCTTCTGATTTATACTTGATGAATCAACAAACTGTGACCCTAAGGAGGGAATAACTACCAGGTCTTGTACATAGCATGCCCTCAAAGCCACTTGTTTATGTATTCTCCAGAGCTACGTTCAAGTGACATTGAAAGTATTGCATACTAAAACAAAGCCCATACAACTCACAAACATGAGATATATACTCTTTAAACACCTTTTAGGGAAAGAAGTTTGCTGGCTCATGTATACAGATTTTGGATTCTATAATATTCCTTCAAAGAATTTCTTAGTTTTTGTTTTCACAGGTAATTAAATTCATTAGATTTCAACTGTAAGCTTAGTCTTTTGTACAGTGAAACAGTTCTAGGTTATCTGTGGTGTGTGCTGTGTATGAATGAGTCAAAGTCCATTGAAAATCTTAGTTTCTTGTGAGGATCTTTCTATAGTTTTTGTAGCTTTGTCTATCTCAGTTTCTTTCTTTATGATGGTGTGTTTCTCACCATTGTCTCAGAGACCAGAGTCAAATTATGACATCTTTATGGTCAAAGTTTTTTAAATGATTAATTTCTTTGGTACCTATTTCTCTAGTTTGCCCTCAAAATTTGGTTGCCTTTGTGCTATTCCTAAAGACTACAGGGCATAGTTATTAATTATTACCTTTCAGGAATGTTGGTTTTGGGGAACTTAATTTACCAGTGGAATAGAGGATCTGCAAAGATCCTCTTAATTCTGGATCTTTTATCTTTCAAATATTTCAAGTATTTCCTTCTCATACTTTTCTTTGAGACTTCAGCCCACAGATGTTGACTGCTCTATCCACTAATTTCAACACTTCCTAGTGTATTGAACTGAAGGATCTTTTGCAGCTTCCTGCTGAACTACATTTTTCTTCCCATACCGGTTGAACAACTCTGTCATTAACAGTCTTAAAGTGTAAGAAACTTGAAACTTATCTATCAGTGGCCAAACCTTATTTGTTAAGGGATAAAGTTTCTAACACATAAAAGATACAGATTAAAAAAATTTCCACTGAAAAAGAATTACAATTAATGACTAAACTTCAGTCACTTCATTTTTGCCATTCTCTTTGTTTTCCATTGCTTTTCATCCTTTGCTGTAAGACCATATTCCATTTTTCTCAATGAATATCATTGAGAAGTATAAAGTATCTGTTATATAGACCTGTTGGCAGCAAGCATTAGTTTTTGTTTCCTTGAACGGATCTTTATCTTTCAGTCTTGAATAAAATTTCAGCTGACATCAGGACTGGCAGTTTCATTTTACTAATATTTCTTCTTTGAATACATCATGCATGTACATCCTTATATTGGTGCCAAGATATAGTCTTTACCATGTTCTTATCTCAAAAGAAAGCTTTTACCTCTTCCTGTGATTTATTTAACTGGAGATTATACAAAGATAATATTTAGTAGTAAGTAAGTTTCTTCTAATGGCTTATATATAAAATTTTTAAATATTAAATCATATCACATATTCTTTATGGATACAAATGTCATAAAAGTTTAAGTTACTGATAACTTTGATTACATTCATTATATCCCTAATGTTAAAATATCTTTGTGTTCTGGGGAAAACAGCCACATGATCATGGTGCATTTTTTGTTTTTTAATAATCATCTGGCAAAAGTTGTGTAGTATGTTCAAATTCAAGGGAATAAAATAGGGCAGACATCTATTCTTACTGTTTTTTAGATTTCCTTTTGGTATTAGTGTTACAATAATTTTAGAAATGTATCTATTGTTTTTTCTTTAAAGAACTTAGATGAGATATAATCATCTTGGGAAGATTAATTATGAGTTTTTAATATCAACTCATTATAGGACAGTAACATGTAGTATAATGTAATTGGAAAGTAGGTTTTACAACAGTATTCCATAACTGATCTACATTCATTATAAAATATGTAGTTATTGAAATTGTAGTTTGGGAGCTAATACATTGAAGAGTAAGAGGTTGCATGTTCAGAGATTATTGCTTCCATGTGTATGTATCTAAAATTGCTTTGGGACAAACTTTAGATTTTTTTAAGACTGATTCTTTATTGGCCACCCTAGATAGCCCTGGACCCAGGCTATAACCCAAACTGACCTCCAAATCACTATCCTTCTGTTTGAGCCTCCCATGTATTGGAATTCTAGACCTGTACCACCACACCCAGTTCAGAACATCTTAAAAGACTGAAAAATGGGTACAAGTTATTTTGGAGATAAACCATAGTATATTAGTACACAATTAAATTTCCATTCAATTATATAGTGTACTTTAGTAAGTTAGATATAAAAGTCTACTTGGGACAAATATCTAATATTTTGTGTTCTTAATGATTTTTTTCACTGGGAAGAAAAAAGAATAAGTATTATCTATATTAATTTATCAACTTGGTTTAAAATTATGAGTAGTTTATATCCGTTGTGAAGTCCCATGCAAAATATTTTAAATTTGGAAATACTTTTCTTAATTGATGAAGTAAGTGGTTATGCAAAGCAAATAAAAAAAGAATATGTGAGTATTTTAAGCTTCTTATTCTACCCCACTCTTAGGAAGAGCATAGTATTACCTAGCTCTAGCTGAGACATTCCTCTCTTTAAAGGTAAAAAAGCCTATACTATATCTTCTGCCATGCTTTTGAGAGTTCAGTTTGAATTCCTTCACTTGAGCTGTTTTTTAGAAAAAGACAGTAGTTCACTTAATACAAGTTCTCTAGACTGCAGAACCAAACATGTGCACAGTATCTCCTCTGAGTGCTTTAGTTTAGTTGGCTATTCTTATCTTGAAAAGCTACCAAATTTGCTTCCTATCCTCTCAGTATAAATAAGAATCTATTACAATACCTGCTGTTTTGGATAGCAGATAATGATGGAATATCCCAGTTTAGACCACTACAGTGTTCAGAAAGCAAGTATTATTCTAAAGTTACAATATAGAATACTAAATTTTTAGTTCTGTAAACATTAGATAACTAATGAGTTTGACAGAAATAGTTATTTTATAAAACAATATATTGAATAGATCCTTCTTTGGTGAAAATCTAGCATTAGACCCTGCAATATTAAAACATTCTTGAGAGAAAGCTCTTGAATTATATAAAATGTTTAGAAATTCAAATAGTCAAGTTAGAGATTGATCTGTAAATACATCCACAAAAAGACATGATTAACAAGTTGTTTCTGTTGAATTTAAAAAGCATAAAATATTGAAGGGGAGCAATATTATGTAGGCATTCTTTAAAATAATTCCCTGCATGAATTTCTGAGAAAAATGCAAATAAAAAGCACACAAGATAAATTATATCTTGAATATAATAAGGTGTATTTGTTTGAAGTATTTTGAAACAGGAAAAACATCTTTCACAGAAGATAGCATGGAGTAATTAAAATATATTGCACTCATCATGGATGATAAATTTAAGAGTTTACAGGCCTGGTAGCTCATGCATGTATTCCTTCCTTCTCAGGAAGCTAAAATCTGAGGATCACGATTCAAAGCTACCCTGGGCAGGAAAGTTCATGAGACTCTTATCTCCAATTAACCACCAGAAAGCTGAAAGTGGTCTGTGGCATTTGCCTTGAGCTGAAGAGCCCAGGGACAGCATCCAGGTCCTGGGTTCAAGGCTGCAACCACACATAAACAAAAAAGAAAGAAAAAACTTTACAAACTTTTAAATGGATATAAGTAGGAAGATAATACTTTAGCAGTTGTAGCATACTCAGTATTAGATTTGTAACATACCTGTTTGAAATATTAATTTAAATATATTCTTCTTAATGTATTTAGTAGATTATAAATTAGCTTGACTTTTGTTGTTATTTTTAGTCTGTTTTGAGTATATCTACCAGAGTAAACCTCCCAAAATAGCCCTTATATTTATCAAACTATTGTCAACAGCCTTCCTTTTTTCAGCAAATAGGAGTGTAGTCCTTCTCTTTAATTTTTTCCTTTATCTTTTTATTTTTCTCTTTTTCCCTCTGTTCTTTTTTTCTGGGGGGGGGGGGAGGGTGTTCATGGGGCTTGAACTCTGGGTTTGGGCATTGGGCCTGAGCTCCTTTTCTTGTTCAAGGCTAGCACTCTACCTCTTAAGCCACAGTGCCACTTCTGGCTTTTTCAGTGATTAATTGGAAATAAGAATCTCACAGATTTTCCTGTCCAGGCTGGGTTTGAACAGAGATCCTCAGATCTCAACCACCTGAGTAGCTAGGATTGCATAAACCACCAGCTAAGATTTAATTTTATTAAGCAAAATTTCCATTTCTATGCATTACCCTTGTGTCAAGTATAAATAACCAATGTATTATGCTAGCTATTTTTTAAAGTATTAACAGTGCCTATAATACATTTTTATACAAATACTATTGTTCTATCAAATATTTTTTACTTCAACTGACACTTGTAGCCCCTGTGCTCTTCTTTACAGAATGTGATTTGCATGGGGCTATGGTGCAGAGTAGAAGGTGAGAAAGAATGCAGGAGCAAACTTGATCCACCCATGGATGGGACAGACTGTCTCCCGGGTAAGGTATGTCATTCCTGTTCCTTGAATTCACTTGTGTTATCTCTTGCCAGGATGGATACACAGGTGTCCATCTTAACTTTGATGGAATAATTTGCCTCACGCAAATGTGAGCATTTTGCCAATCTTTAGTTTTTTAAGTTTTATATTTTATCAACTTGATGGATGCTTCATTAATAGTGATATTTTTATTGCTGTTAATTACAATACTGAATTAGATTTATGTAGCACTTTCACAAAAAATGAGTTTTTTGTTTTTATTATTTAAACAGAAGTAAAATAAGCACAATAATAGCATAATTATCAAAACTTCTGGAAGCAGTGAATCCTTTCAACTGTAAAATATTGTCTCTGTGCTATGTTGAAAAATGAACTTTACAATTTAGGCGGCGGGGAGGGGGCAGGGGTGTAGTAGTTGTGGCAATGGGAGGGAAGGGATGGGAGAGGAAAAAGGAAGAGGCAACAATGCTTGATAAGAAATGTACTCATTACCTTGCTCATGTAATTGTAACCCCTCTGTACAGTATTTTCACAATAAAAAAATCTTATTTAAAAAAATATTGTCTCTGGAGCACAACCGAGTATCTTTTATTTTTTCTGGTCAATATGAGCACTATAAATAGAATATTCAAATTGACATTTGGAGATTATCAAGTGTTTGGCTGAGTAAATTAATTAAGCATGCTTTATAAGGGCTAAGGAATTTTTGAGTATATGTTTCAAGATCAAAATCATTGTTGCTGAAGCATAGTTTGCCATTCAGGAATATGAAGTATTTTGATCCCATGTGTACTTATGGTGAACTGAAAACAAAAATTAGAGGTCAATACGCCACATAATTTTTGAACTTGTGTAGGAAAACAATAATGTGGAATGCTTTTCTTTTTGTTCATTAATGCTAAGATTAGAAACCTGACTTTTGAAGGACATGATTGTTCATTATATTTGAAAACAAATGGCAGCATCCATACACAGATTTCCTGGGTGTGAGTTACTTAAAAAATTAACTTATGTGGAATATTTTAAAAAACTCATCACTGCAAAAAAGATGAAAACCTATAGCTTATTTCTGGAAACTCTTCCTGAGTTAATACTTAAGCATATGCCTGAAGAACCACAGGTACCCTCATGTATACGCAAGGCTGACCATGTGAGCAGGCAACCAACAATGGTGAGAAGTACAAAACAAAAAATATTAAGTAGCAGAGAACTGAACCTAAGTTTGGAGGCTCACACTTAAAATCCTAGCTACTCAGGAGAGTGAGAATTAAGGATTTTGCTTCAAAGCCAGACCAGGCAGGAAAGTCTGTGAGACCCTTATCTCCAGGTATCCACCAAAAACTCATAAGGAAAAGCAAGGTTTATGTCTTAGAGTACTAATCAAAAAAAGTTCAGGGACAGTGCCCAGGTCCAGCACAAAAAAAGTGAGTTAGATAAGTACATATCAACATAAAAAATCCAGGAGACATGGAGGTTAATACAGGTATGTCAGAAAAAAACTGATTCTTTATGTTATACTATTTGAGACTTAAGGAAAGCAGAGGTTGCAAACAGATGTGAACACACATATGTAATTTTACACTCATAAAATTTAGTTTAAAAATATAAATTACAAACTAATCAGCAGTTAACCTTTGGGAAAGAAAGTGGCATTCAATGGGAGTAAGCCAAAGAGCAATGAGAGTGACTACAACTTTTATCTATATCATCCTTGAATTCTTTAAATAAGCAAATTAGCCATTTATTATTTCTGTAATTTCACCAATCAACAAAAGGGAAATAGTATACACCTTGTATAAATGTAAACTCTTTTTTTGCCAAGGATAGAAATATTTTAGCACTAGATATGATCAATAAGAAAATAGTTCCTTAAAGGAAACTTAAGTAGTCAGAATTTTAGTCTGCCTCATTTTTTTACCAGGCAATACTATGAATAACATTGCTGAGTAATAAAACCCTGCCATAGCAATAATTTCCACCATCCCTGCATCACTAAAGCAGTAATACATAGACATGACTAACCATTCAGCTTTAAGTCTTTAAGAATTACATAGCCATTCATCTCATTTACTTCTTCTTTTAACATCTCTATTTTTATAATCTATGATCCTAAATCTTTTTGTATTGTGACTTTTTTCATGATTTTGAGAATTTTTTTAATGTTTTAGAAGTACTCTGATTTGAACTCAGGGATGCCACTTGCTGTGCAACCACTTTATTTCTTGAGTTATGTTTACAGCGCTTTTTGCCCCAGTTAATTTTGAGAAAGTTCCTCACTTTTTCCCTGGGCCAGCTTCCTGCTATATTTGGGATGAAGGGCACATACCATTATGCCCATCTATTTGTTGACATAAGATCTTGCAAACTCCTTGCCTTGCCTAGCCTCAAACCTCCATCTTCCCAATCTTTACCTGATAAGTAAATGAGATCCAGGAATGATCCATTGACACCTGGCTGAAAAATTCTTGAGATCTCTAAATTAAACACTCCTTCAGCAACTGAAACTGTAATTGGTCATCAAAGTATATTTTATTTCCATAATCACATGCTTAATGAATTGAAACAACTGACTGACTTAGTCTCTTAGACAATGTATGTTTTTTTCTGGTTCTGTTTCTTCTGTTCTAGTTGTTATAGAAACAATCATATAAATAACTTTCAATGCCACTCATGTTGTGTAGGATGGTGGTAAAATATTGGAATGCTGGCAACCTCACACAAAACACTTCGAGCTCTGTGTAATACAAACTCACAAAAAAATTATACATACTAAGCACTTATAACACTAATGATGTCAACTGTACTGCATAAATTTAGTTCTCTAAGTGAATTTAAATCTGAGAACCTATCTACAGAATTCGGTGATTCAAAAGGACATAGAAAGCTAGGCACTGATGACTCATGTTTGTAATCCTACCTATTCAGAAGGCTCGAATTGAAGACCTCAGTTGGAAGCCAGCCCTGGCAGGCAAAACCACATGAGACTTTTATCTCTACCTAACCAGCAAAAAGCTGAAACTGGAGGCATGGCTCAAGTGGCAGAGCACCAGCATGAGCCACATGAAAGCTCACAGCCCTGAATTCAAGCCTTCATGCCTACACACACACACACACACACACACACAAAATGAGATGAAGATTAATATTCCACTTTAGACAGCATTTCCAAAGAAACAGATTTTTTCTCTTTTGTTTAGCTGTTATCTTTGTACAATTTCATCTTAGTATATATTTACAATTTATATTTATCAGAGATTAGAGTTGATAAATGTGATTAAAATCTAATAAATGTATAGATATATATATTTATATGTATATGACTATATGCATATGTGTTCTATTATATACATGTATCACTATGTGAGTATATGCATATGAACATTTATTTTATATGCATATGTGTATTACTGTGTTTTCTCAAATAAGGAGAAGGAAAGTTAATTATAAGTTTACTAGGACTGTAAATTAATGTGAAGAGTTTTATGTAATACAGTTCAGTTGTTTACTTTTCAAAGTTGAGATCCCTAAATTTGCAATTATCATTTTTTGTTGGAAATAAATAAGACTGTAACATCCTCATGACCTTCACGTGTATATATAACGAGCCTTGGGCTTTCTTTCTTTTCTTTGCCCTCTTCCACAGTATGTCCAGATTTGGACCAGGATACTTTGACACACTCATGACTTCTAATCACACATTCTCATGGACTTCTTGAACATGGAAAGTTCAAACCATAGTACATTCAGATTTTTAAACCATGTCTTGTCCCAGAAATTGTCAATATTATATATTCCTTTAGAACTTTCATCAATCAGGATCATATACCAGAAAAATTCTGGGTTTGGAAACCTGTGTGCTATACAGGCTGAAAAGTATAAACATATAATATATGGCACTCGCAATTTTATGGGAATCATCATTAGGATCATTTTATATATGAATCTAACAAACTGTACTGTATAACTGAGTACTGGGGGCACATTCCTGCTAGCTCCTCAGGGTGCTGAGAACAGGGGAATTGCCATTTGAGGCCAACCTAAGGAAAAGCCTCTAGAAAACATGTGTTCACAGTCTAATTAAAAACAACCAGTGAGCACTTTCCTTTTATTTAGCGAGCATCATCTAAAAGGCACAAAAGTTAGTTCCTCTAGTTCCATGCAGAGCTCTGATTCTCTGAAATGTGAGAAACCTCAGGTGTTTTGTAGTCCCTTATCGAAACTCCACAGATTTGTATATCCACATAGGCTTGTGTGTCAGTTTCCAGATTTCTTCACCTGTCAGATATGATGTAGTTCAAGTTATGTGCAAGTCTAGATCCAACTCCTTCTCTAAATAATCTCAGTTTGCTATGAACTCTGGCTCAGCCTTTCACTGCCAGACTGCTGCTAAATGGACAGTATACACCCAATGGGGACAGGGAAACCTTAAATAGGCCAGCACATTGCAAATGAACTGAAGTTTGACACCTTGTACATTAGCATCCTTGCCAATAACTGACAATGTTAAGCTCTTAAAACCAGTAAGTGGTGCAGAAGTTTTCTCTCTGTTTTCCTTCTTTTCCAATTTTTACTACTCCTCTTCCAACCAAATCTCCAATTGTTTAAAGACCACCCTAGCTCAATGATAAGAACTGCACGGTTAAATTTAAAACTTCTTAAATTTGAAAGAGATTGAATTTGAGTTCTGACATTATTAGAAAAATCTATAAAGACGAGTTATTTTATCACAGATTGAAACGTTTACTGAGTTAAACTAAAAGTAATAGCATCATCTTCTAAATATTCTCTTATAAAACATAAAACATGCACTTAAAATAAATTTAAGTCAAGGAAGATCAAGAAATATCCGAATGGTGGGGCGCTGGTAGCTCACAGCTGTAATTCTACCTACTCAGGAGACTTAAGATTGGTGGATTGTGGTTCAGAGCCAGTCCAGACAGGAAAGTCTGTGAGACCCTTATCTGTAATTATGAAAAGGAAAGGAAAGGAAAAGGGAAAAGGAAAAAGAGCCAAAAGTGGAGCTGTGGCTCAAGTAGTACAGTACAAGCCTTAAGTTCAAGCGTCAGGCCCAGCATGAAAAGAAAAAAGAAATAGAAATATCAGAGTTAACAGAATTTTGGTCAGATTTCTGGAAACTATCATTGGTAACATTAATGATATGTATTTATTAATGTACTGTACTTCATCTCCATTAGATGTTATCAACGCACTTAATATTTCATTCAATCCCTGATTAAAGCCTAGGTAACAAGGTAATTAGGTAAATAGTCACACTTTGAAAAGAAATGAAATTCTGAACAGTAATTTCTTTAAAACAACTTGCTCAACAATTTTATTTTATAATCAATAAACTAAATGTCCCTGATCTTTTCTTATTATTCTCAATAATAAGTGTTTCTAACATGTTTGCTGGGACCATTATCAGTTTGATTTTTCTGAATTAGAAAAAAAGAAAGTTTTCAGAAGAAAAACCTTGTTTACATATTTATGTTTGAAATATAACAGTAAGTCTTCCAGAAAAAAAGAAAGCATAAAGTCCTAAAAATGAAATCATATGTTGCATGCAAGGAAACAAAATACATTACTAACATTGTTAATAAAAATGGTTGAATTTGTATAAATGGCTGCTTTAACCTAGTTTCAGAAATACATTTATTGATGATTTTCCCATCTGTATACATGACTATGCTTCTTGTATCTGTTTCAAATTCTGTTTCTCAGAATGTCTTAGCTTTTCTTTTCTGGTTTTGCAACTTTGGATTCTCTGTCCATTACCTTCACCCTAACTCTATCACAGGTATTAAGTTCTCAGTGTGACAGTACTACTGCACTGTACTGCTGGGTACTGCTCTCAAGATGTGAGAACTTTGAGAATTTGATCATTATACTGCTATGACAAAAATGTGTGCCAAGTTACTCTTTAAAAAAAAATATTGTTGATGGGGCTGAAAAGGTGGTTTAGTGCCTAGCATGCATGAAGCCCGGGGTTTGATTTCTCAGTGCCACATAAACAGAAAAGGCCAGAAGTGGTGTTGTGTCTTAAGTGGTAAAGTGATAGCCCTGAGCAAAAGAAGCTCAGGGACAGTACCCAGGCTCTGAGTTCAAGCCCTAGGACTGTCCCCCCCACCCCCCCTCTCTCTATAATATATATATATATATATACATACATATATATATATATATATATATTAAAGGGGATGTACAGAGGGGTGCAGTTACGTAAATCAGGTAAAGAATATATTTCTCTGTCAACGATATCACCCCTTCCCTCACTCTCAGTACTTATTTATTATCTTTTTCAATTTCTTGTATTTTGAGCCGTAGTAGAACTAGTTTACCTACCTTAATTCCAGTGACTGTATAGGCCAGTGAATGACTTTGCCTTGTGCCTTGATTTGTTCACCTAAGACATAACTTTTGGAATAGTGGTGTAAGGCTGGAGAGTGTACCAGTAGGACCCCAGCACCTGAGCACCGGGCTGGAGAATGGAGCATGTGGAGTTCCTGCAGCCGAACCTGCAGCTCTGGGACCAGCAGTCGAGAACGCAGATGTCCTGGGTAACTCACAATTCCTAAATTAGGAGAGGGAACTTTTCTTCAATTTGGAAATGCAAAGATTTACCCATAATCTATGTTGTAAAGCCAGAGAAATTCTTTAATTTCTACTCCACTTTGGTAAACTAAAAACTTCCTTGAATTATTTATTTATTTTATATACACATTCCTTTTTATATGAAAATACAGGCCAGAATAAAATGAGGGAAATGACAAAAGTTTTTTTTTAATGAATCTAGTAAAATGTATTTAAGCATAAAATATGTATTAGAAAGTGTGTCATTATTTAAAAGAACTGTGAGAAAAGTACAAATTAGGTAGAACCTTAGAAAAATAGAGACAGAACAAAGTGATGATAAGAAGCTGAAAGAAAAAACAATAGCTCATGGAGCCATGCAAAGTTTATTGTACAATTTGCTTATTCACTGCCAATGAGCCTAGAGAGACCAGTGTGAAAAGGTGATTTCAGCTCCTTTGCTCTGACTGCCAGTGAGGACCCTGTGGCACCATTCAGTCACAGCAGTGTCAAAGATTATGAGTTTATTTGAAAACATATCAACAATTCTAAGGACTAAACTTCCTCATGGGAACCAGCCTCTTTCTCTTCCTCCCTTGGTTCATTTTCATGACAAGTTGTTTTCTATTCTTCATATAGTTTAGAAGATAATTAAAGTTGAAAAACATATATTGCTTAGAAGAAATAAACATATGAATATCCTAGCTATTGTTTAAAATATTCATCTCAGAAAAGTAGATATTTTATCAATATAATGGGTTTTGATCTTTAAATTTTTTATAATAAAAATATAAAAATGATTATTTATACTGTTTTTTTCTAGGCTAAGTTCTGAAGCAAGGGATTGTAATGGTCCCAGAAAACAATACAGAGTATGTGAGAATCCACCTTGTCCTGCAGGTTTGCCTGGGTTCAGAGACTGGCAATGTCAGACCTATAATTTTAAAACTTCACACCCAAAGCAGGTCCTTCCATGGCAAGCTGTCATGGACGAAGGTAAGACTGCAAGGGCACCACCATCTCAGTTGAGTCAAGTTCTAATCTTCCCAGGTGCTTTTTTGAAACAGCAGTAGCACTTTTATTTTTTTTTAAAGAATATCTTCTAGATATTTGTGAATTTTATTTTTTTCTTTCTTTCCTGATACATGACAAACACAAGAAATAACAAAATATAGTTTTAAAATATAATGAGATATTAGTACATACCTGTTAGAAACACCAAATGCTGGTGAAGATGACACAAACAATGCGTATCTCAGACACTGTGGGTGAAAATACAAAATGGTGCAAATGGTCTTTGCTCAATAGTTTTTTGTTTTTTGTTTTTTTTGGTTTTTTTTCTGGTTATGGGGCTTGAACTCTGGGCCTGGGTGCTGTCCCTCAGCTCTTCAGCTCAAAGCTAGTGCTCTACTTACTTGAGCTACAGTGCCACTTCTGGTTTTCTGGTGGTTTATTGGAGATAAGAGTTTTATGGCCTTCTCTGCCCAAGCTGGCTTTGAACCGCGATCCTCAGATCTCAGCCTCCTGAATAACTAGGATTACAGACATGAGCCACAGGCTCCAGGCTGCTCGTTACTTTTGAGACAGAGTCTCCATCCCACCTGGCCATGTATACAACCACAATCTGTCTATTTCCAGTCACGGCTTGCATTGCAAGCATGTGCCACAATGTCCAGGTTACTTTCACTGAGATGGAATTTTGTCTGTTTTTCTGCCCTGACTGTCCTGGAGCAGTCTTCCCAATCTGAGCCTCCCAAGTTGCTAGAATTACAGATGTAAGCCACTAATGCCTGTATTTTATAATTTTATTTTTATAAATAAAATTGTGCTCTCTAGGCAAGAATCGTATTTCTTGAGGCATGTCCAAGTGGGATCAATCTTTTTTTTATTTTTTAGGTTGGACAGATGAATAAGATCATGTTGTATTTACCTTTCTGTGGCTGGCATTTTTCACCTAACATAGTAATATGACCTCTATCCATGGTCACAAATGAAAAGATTCCAATCTTTTTTCAGGACTTACTAGTATTAAATTATGGTAACATACCACATTTCCTTTATCCATTTGCTCTATTAGGCTATTTAAATTTCTAGTTCATTATAAATGGTGTTACAATGAAAACTGAAATGTGAATACTAATTTCAAATGTTTTGATATTAGTAGTGTGGTTACCGGATTGTATGGCAGTTCTATTTTAATTTGTTGATGGACTTTAATCATATCTTCAGTGATAGCTGTTCTACCTTACATACATCAGCAGTGTGCAAAGGTATCTTTCCTCTTCAGTATTATTAACACTTACTCTTCTTTTTTTTCTTTACCAGGACTGTGGCTTGAACTCTTGAACTCAGAGCCTCGGTACTGTACCTGAGTGCTCTATTACTTGAGCCACAGTTTTACTTCTGGCTGTTGGGTGGTTAATTGGAGACAAGAGTCTCAAGGACTTTTCTGCCCAGGCTAACTTTGAACCATGATCCTCAGATCTCAGCCTCCTGAGTAGCTAAGATGACAAGCGTGAGCCACCAGAACCCAGCAGCACTCATTTTCTTGAGTATTTTTGTAAAAACCTTTTTCACTGGTACAAGGTGATATTTAATTTTAGTTTTGATTTGTATTCAACAGCTAAGATGTGATAATTTTGCCAAAACAACCAGCTGAGTATTTCATTCTTTGTAGTCTCCATACATTATAATGCTTTAAGAGAAAATGTTCTACACAATCTTTTAAAAAATTCAAAAGTCTTAACAGCATATGGCATTTTAAAATACAAATGGTTACATATTTTATTCTTATATGTCATATAAAGCTATGACTAGTAGGATGTAAAATGGATATTATTTTAGTAGTGAACATTCATTTTTAAAGAAAATAAATGTATGGCTTTAACATTCAGATATTTAACAATCTCAATGTGCTAAGATTTGCCTGTATCCCTCTATAACACATATTTTGGAAAAGGTTGATCTCTTAAATCAAGATAGAAGCTGCCTGCCAAGTAATGGCATGTTACACAGATCACTACAATGTCACCCTCTCCAAGGGTATACTTCAGGAAGGAAGATTGGCATCAAGTATTTAGTCATCTGTGAAATTATATTAAGCAGAATGTATTGACAATATGCTATAAAAAGATTTAAAAATTTTTTATCTGAATTCTTGTTTGGAATATGAGTGGATTTTCTAAGAGCCTAACTTCTTTCTACATTACTTGTATATTTGGTTTGCTCCTGTTTTCAATGAAAATTCCAGAAAAAGTAGTATATAAGCCACAGTGAAAGTGTTGCAATTATAGCCACTGTTTTTAAGTCCAAAGATATGACATAGTAGGCAGTCACTGAATAAACATGACCTACTTTGAGGTGTGAGAACACACTGAAATGTTTTATTGCAGCTTATAATGTTTTCTTAAAGGAAAATTTCAAATCCATGCACATTAGAGGCCTTCTTCCAGCTTCTCAAGATTGTTGAGAGCAGTATTCAGAAACCACATGTGAAGTGTTTCAAATGTCCAATTCTGAAGGCCCATATAACTGACTTCTCTTTGCAAAGTGATTCCCTGTTTCATGTCCCTAGATGATATTTAGTATTTTTAGAATCCTTTTAGTATACATGGAGCTTTACTGAGGACATAAGAAAAGGTTGATGTGAGAGACTGTAACTATTCTCCATTCTACTATTTATAAAAGCTTCATAAACAGTAAAGGGCCTGACTACTATCAAGACAATAGAATAGTAATACAGCATGAAAATTGTTCTGAAGTTTCAGATTTGGATATTCATATTACCGGTGTTAAGAAACCCTTAAGCTCCTTTAAGCTCCTTTATAGAAAGCTTCAAAGTACAACTCCTTGAACATGTTTTGCCTTGCTGGACACCAGTGGCTCATGCCTATTATCCTAGCTATTCAGAAGGCTGAGATCTAAGGATCCCAGTTCATAGCCAGCTTGGGAAGACAAATCTGAGAGGCTCTTATCTCCAATTAACCAGAACAAATCTAGAAATAGTAGTGTGGCTTAAGTGGTAGAACACCACCCTTGATCAAAGAAACCAAGTGAAAGCACAAGGTCCAAAGTTCAACACTCAGTACTGTTACAAAAAATATTAATAAAATAGTAAAACAAAACATTTTGACCCTCAGGTTTCACTCATCCTGCCTCACTGCTAGCTCCTCAAGAATTCTTCACCCTGAAATAATAGTCTTCTGCCTAGATAGCATAGTCACTGAAGTAAAACTGTTCACTCCAATTATCCACCAAAAAGTTGAAAATGTAGCTGTGCTTCAAGTGGTAGAGCACTACCTTCATTGAAAAAGCTAAAGGACAGTGCCCAGGCCCTGAGATCAACCCCAAGTACTGGCACAATTATATATAAATGGGGTCTTATTTTCTCATTTCTTTATTCTTGATGTAGAAAAACCATGTGCCTTGTTTTGTTCTGTTGGAAAGGAACAGCCTGTTCTCCTATCAGAAAAAGTGATGGATGGAACTTCTTGTGGATACCTGGGATTAGATATATGTGCAAATGGCAGGTGCCAGGTAAGATATTTCAAAAGAAAGTATCTCATGTACAGAGAAGATACTGAGACTATTGAAAAGCTTTGTAGTATGGTTGAAAGATTTAGATTAAGGTTCAAAAGGTGTATTTGTGGTCCTTATTTGACCTTGAGCTAGTCTGATCTATTTTGAAACTCCATTTCTTCACTTGTATGACAAATGTTTTGAGCTAAGTAACTCAAAAAATCCATCCATAATTGAGATAATCAGAGATTTTGATTGTTTATCACCAATGTAAAGTTGTAACACCTTTATGTCAAAACATTTCAAACCCAAAACTTAGACACTCTAGGTTCTCAAGTGAAGCACGACACTGTAGAAGCAGTCTTATTAATCATATTGAACTATTTATCAACACACATGAATCAACTGACTTAAATGCATGATCAGTTTCTTATAACACTGAAATGTTTCACTTGCTTTTCTTTTAATTTCTGAGTATGTCTTATTTTATTTTCTCTTTTTAATTTCTGAGTATGAGGTGCTCTTCCTTATCTATCTTTAGAAAAATAGATAATTTGTTAAAGTGAGTATGAAGAGCAGAGGGGAAATGTTCTTAGAATTTGCTCATCATATTTGAGATTCTGTATTGGGTTGGCTTCTTCCACAGTTGTATACAAGAAGTTTAATACCAAGTTTCCTACAATGATCACATGGGAAGGAGAGGGCAGGGCATCAGGGGAAAATGAACCTATAGCTCTAAAAATTGGGTGGGTATTCCCAGTTGTTACCTTTTATAGTGAGAAGAGGGAGACAGAGACAGACACACAGAGAGAGATAGGAGAGAGAGAGAGAAAGAGAGAGAGATAGGAGAGATAGGAGAGAGAGAGAGAGAGAGAGAGAGAGAGAGAGAGAGAGACTCCTCCATATGCATGGGCAGGCACTGATACCAGGGCTTAAAAACTCAGGGCATGTTCTGCATCTTGTCTATACATTTTTCTTTGGGGAAGGGAAGGGAAAAAACAAAATGCTTAATTAGGGACACAGGTTGACCCATTGTAACAATGAGATGTGCAAGATACTATGTTGAAAATGCACTTTACAACTTCAGCTGTGGGGGGTGAGGGAGGAATTGGGGAGGAGGGGAGGGAAGGGATGATAGGGGAAAAACAAAGAGGGGATAGGTAACAATGCTAGATAGGAAATGTACTCATTACCTTACTCATGTAACTGTCACCCCTCTGTACAGTATCTTATGCTTGTTCACAGCTGGTGCTCTACCACTTGAGCCATACTTGCAGTCCAGGTATTTTTGTTGAGTAATAGGAGATAGAGTTTTTGCCTGGACGGGCTTTGAATCAAGATTGTCAGATTTCAACATCTTCAGTAGCATGATCCTCAACACCCAGCATAAACTGAGACCTTTTAGCCCTCATATTTACTAGTGTTTTGATACCAATTTCCTCAAGAAAGTGATATAGATAAGTTCTGACATACCTTCCAGAAGATGGAGAGAAATAAATCTATTAGTAGTGAAAGAATCACCAGAGAGAAACAGCATTGAATTCATGACAGCTATCAGGAAATTCTATTCTTAGGCAAGTCACTCTTTAATATATATGGGTGAATCAACTAATCTGTAAAATGGTGTTGTTAGATCAATAGTAATTAACGTATACTATATAATCCCTTGAGAAGTGGACAGAAATTTTCCCCTATGAGGAATACACATATGAAAACACGTGTGTGCCAAAATTTGAAATGAAGTGCAAACTACAGATAGATAAGCAACCAGAAAGCCATAAGTATTCTGGATCATTTGGAATATCATGTAACTTAAATACTTTCATAGCTCCAATATTCTCGATATTTGCTAGCTTGCTAATAAAGTTTTAAAGCTTTGAATCATGCAGTGCCAATAGCATAAGAAATGGTATTATGATTATATATTAATTTCCTTTATTTTTTAGCAGATTAGGACAGTCACTTGAAATGTAATTTTTAGTTACCTATGTCATAAAATTTAAAAAACTGTAGGTATTTAGCCTATGTATAATTTGTTTTACTATAGTATAGCATATTTTACTATCGTTCATCATACACAAATCTCACAGACTAGTATATATCTAAAATGAATATATTTTTCCAAAAATGATTTAAATTGTGAATACCAAATGTAATACCTTAAGCTGTTATGATTTTCACATATATTTGTGCTGTATAAGCTAGATTGTTTACAGGTTTCCTTATGAGGCATTAAAATCGTAGCAACAACAAATCTGTATGCAGTCTTTCCTGACACTTGAGATCATAGATTAGAGTTCTCTGAAATGGATTGTGACTTTTCTTAAGACTATGACTTTGTAACTGAAATGCTTCATTTAACATAATTAAAAGCATTTCTGTTTCTCAGACAGCCCTCTGTAAACTGGATTTTTGTTTTCTTTTTATCACAAAATGTAGAACACCAAACCTAAATATAGAACTGTAAACTTGGAGAATGAAGAGAGTTGAGAACAGCTTTCTGAGGATGTCTGTTTGGCTCTGTGAATTTTCTGTTCCTAAAAGTGTAAGGAGGGCATTTCTGGTATGCCAGAACTGTTTCAGTCACTGGCCATTTGTGAAATGGCATTGGCTTTTCTAACTCTTTCATCCTCACATTTTGGATTTCTGTAAGAAAATTTGGGTGATATGGAAAACTAAAACTGCCAATAAAAATGCACAATCCTCAATTCTAAAATATGTGAACTATAGTATGTTGTCTAACTCTTTTGCTTTAGGTTCACAGATAGTATCTGGTTATGATATCACAGTTACAGAATTGGGGGAAGAACTTAAGAAACTAACCACTATATTTCTGTTACTACTTTCCAAAAAGTAAGTTGCATTTAGTTTAGTTAGATTTACTTTAATCTCTAGTAACACTACCAATAAAAGAAAAAGAAAGCACATTTAAAGGTCTAAGGTCCTTTTTCACATATGGAGAAATGTTTCTACTTCATGTTAAGCTCTTAAGTTTTACATGATTCCAATTTAGTGTTCACTTCATTTTGACATGTCCTGTGTTGCCTTATTTTTTTTTTTATCCAGAGATAAACTGGGACTGTCTGATCATTCTTCTATCACTTCCCTATCCCTGTATCAGTATAGGCATTTTTGCATAAAGGAAGGGGTGCTGTAATGTGGAGGTGTCATGTGATTCTCACTCTCTCAGAATGGCCATCCTACTGCTGTACTTTATTTGCATACCTAACCACACCACCACCACCACTAGTATTTGTTTCTGATTTACTTAACACTTAGGAGTTAGAATAATTGGAACTTATCATAAATGAATATTAAGCTCTCTAAATCTTTTTGTTTGCTTAGAACCATTCGTATTCCTACCGGTTATTTCTGACAGATCAATATAAATAATTTATTCTATGTGTATATGCAACTTGGATAAAACAATCATAGTATCTAAATGAACATCAGTGGAAGGCAAAAATATATACTAAAGAAGAATAAGTGCATTCAACCTTAAAAGATTCTTAGTGACTGACTGAAATCTTCTGGCAGCATATACAAATTAACTCCTTTGCTGGGCATAATGATTCATGCCTATAATCCTAGCTACTCAGGAGGCTGAGATGTGCAGGCTTGAAACTAGCCCTGGCAGAAAAGTCCATGAGACTCATCTCCACTTAACTGCCAAAAAGTTGGAAGTGGAGCGGCCATTCAAGTGATATAATTTCAACTTCTGGCAAAAAACCCTAAGGGACAACACCCAGATTCTGAGTTCAAGCACCAGTTCCTGCACTAATGAGAGAGGGGGGAGAGAGAGAGAGAGAGAGAGAGAGAGAGAGAGAGAGAGAGAGAGAGAGAGAGAGAGAGAGAGAGAGAGAGGAGAAAGAAATAGAGAAGAAAAATTACAGAAAAAAGAGAAAGTAAAGAGAGAGAAAGGGGAAGGAAAGAAAGGAGGAAGAAAGGAAGGAAGGAGAGGAAGGATGGGCGGAAAGGAAAGGAAAGACAGAATGAAAAAGAAAGAAAGAGAAAAAGTGAACTCCCCAACTATTTTATATTCATTTATTTATATTCCTTGTTTGGTGAAGAACTCTTAAATTTGTGTTGGATACCAAAGAAGGTGGAATGAAAAAGTCTGTAGTAGAGTTCAGTTAATGTTTAATACTTGGCACTGGATTTACAATCACTTCACACATAAAGCCACTTACATGGTGCCCTCTAGAATAGAATTAAGCCAATTATGTTATATTAGCTATAAAAATGCTATTCTTTAGGATTTAGTACATTTCTTTTTTGTTTGTTTTTTTTTAACTGTATTTTTTTTGTCTTTTCTTTTTTGGTACTGGGGATCGAACCGAGGACGTTGCACTTGCTAGGCAAGCGCTTTGCCACGGAGCTACATCCCAGCCCAACATTTCTTTTTTCTTGATACTATTTTTCTCCCAGTTACTTTAGGTTATCATTTAGTGCTTACTTTAAGCATTACTTTTGTCACTAACCTGTAGTTTGTTCATTTTGTGTATTCTAATGTCTGAAGGAATTTGCCCCATAGAACCCAGCACATTTGCTTACCTATAAAATATGTCTGGTTTGTGGACATTAGGTCAATATGAAATTAGTAGTTACAAAAACAAAAGAGTATTTTGATTTACAATTTCCATTTTTTTTCCTACAGAAAGTTGGTTGTGATGGATTATTAGGGTCCCTGGCAAGGGAGGACCACTGTGGAGTATGCAATGGTGATGGAAAGTCTTGCAGGATTATTAAAGGGGATTTTAATCACACCAGAGGAGCAGGTAATTATTCTTTGTTTTTCATAATTAATGACCCCTATTGTCTTTGGAGGACAAGGAATACAATGAAATTGACTCATGCTTTGTTGAGGACATTTCTAGTGGGTATTGAATGATTTACAAACAATCTATGGGACTGAAGACAGAAATATGAAGTCATCTGTTCTGAATTTAGTAAGTTAGAGTGCCACGGGAATACTCTTAATTTGCATTGGCTCATGTTAGCAGGTTTTGAAAGACCTTGTCCTCTAATGCAAAGCATGTCATTTTTTCTTCTTTCTTTTTTTGTGGGTAAGCTGGTCCTGGGGATTGAACTCAGGGCCTGGACACTATCGCTGAGCTTCTTTTTTCTGCCCAAGTTAACACTTTACCACTTGAGCTACAACTTCTGGCTTTTGGGTGGTTAAATGGAGATTAGCGTCTCACAAACTTTCCTGGCTGGGCTAGCTTTAAATGATGACCCTCAGATCGCAGCTTCCTGAGTTGTAAGGATTCCAAATGTAAGCCACCAGTGCTTGGCTCCATTTTCTTTTTTTCATTTTTCTTTCTTTTGACACATTTTTTAATATATATTTTTTTATTATAAAGATACTATACAGAGAGGTTACAGCTACATGAGCAAGGTAATGAGTCCATTTCCTATGGAGCATTGTTATACCCTCCTTTATTATTCCCCTACAATCCCTTTCTCCCCACCTCCCCAACTCCTTCCTTCCCTCTCCTACCCACCCCCCCTGCAAAGTTGTAAAATTTTTCAACATACTGTCTCATTGTTACAATGGGTCATCCTGTACCCTTATTTCAGCATTTTGTTATTTCCTTTCCCCTCCTCAAATTAGAAAAATGTATATACAAGATGCAGGACACCAGAATCAAATATAGTGACAACACTGGTTGTACCATGGAAGAAGAACATACAAAAGAAACAAAAAAATTACATAATACATTATAAATACATTAAAAAGAACAGCAACAAAGATAAAACCCCTTGTGTCCCTATCATGGGGTTCATTTTGCTTAGCATCAGGTTATATGGTCATATGTACATACCTTTTGAACTCTTCTAGTTCTAGACATGTACTAGTTACTGCAAATAAGGGAAACCATGGGACCTATGTTCCTTTGAGTCTGGCTTACTTCACTTAATAACATTTTTTCCAAGTTTTTCCATTGTATATAAATACCACATTTTCTTGATCCATTCATCTACTGAGGGGCTTCTGGTTTGGTTCCATATCTTAGCTATGGTGAACAATGCTGTGATAAACGTAGTTGTGCTGGTAACTTTATTATAGCCTTGTTTGTGGTCCTTTGGGTAAATGCCCAAAAGTGGGATTGCTGGGTCATAGGGGAGCTCTATGTGGAGTATTTTGAGGAACCTCCATACTGCTTTCCAAAGTAGTTGAACAAGTTTACACTCCCACCAACAATACAGTAGTGTTCCCTTTTGGCCACATCCCCTCCAGCACCTGTTGTTATTAGAGTTCTTGCTGTGTCATGCAATCCCATTTGTCCAATCTTTCTTTGATTTGTTGTGTTTCTGGGTCTTTAGTAAGAAAAGTTCAGCCTGTGCCAAGGAGACCTAGAGTTTACCCTGTTCCTCCTATAATGTTTTCAGAGTGTCTGCTTTGACTACAAGGTCTTTGATCCATTTGGAGTTGATTCTGGTGCAGGGTGATATATGGGAATCTAGCTTTAGTTTTCTATAGGTGTTTAACCAGTTTTTCCAGCACCATTTACTGAAAAGGATGTCTTTCTTCCATTCTAATTTTTTAGCTCCTTTAGCTGTAGGTCGGTGGGTTCATTTCTAGGTCTTCAGTTCTATTCCACTGCTCCTGAGGTCTGTTCTTGTGCCAGTACCAAACTGTTTTGATTACTATGGCTTTGTAGTAGAGTTTGAAGTTTGGTATTGATATTCCTCCAGCACTGTTCTTTGTGCCAAGGATTGTTTTTGCTATTTGGGTTCTTTTATTGTTCCATAGAATTTCTGGATTGCTTCTTCTACTTCACTGGAGAATGAGGTTGGGATATTGATAAGTATCACATTGCATTTCTAGATAGCCTTTGGAAGTATTGCCATGTTCATGATGTTAATCGTTTCCATCCAGGACCATGGGAGATTTTTCTACTTCCTTAGTGCTGCTTTAATTTCCTTTTTCAGGATTTTAATGTTTTCATCATAGATATCCTTCACTTCTTTTGTTAACTTAACTCCTAGGTATTTTATTTTTTGTGGAGCTATTACAAAAGGAGTTGCTTTCCTGATTCAGCCATGCACACTTCTCATTATTGACGTACAGATAAGTCATTGATTTTGACCGTTAGTTTTGTATCTTGTTACTTTGCCAAAGTTTTGAATCAGTTCAAGTTTTTTAAATACAAGATCATGTTATCTGCAAAGGAGAAGAATTTTACTTCATCTTTCCCTATTTGGATCCCTTTATGTTTGCATCTTGTGTTATTGTTCTAACTAGGCATTCTAATACTAAATTGAAGAGAAGTAGAGAGGTTAGACATCCTTGTCTCATTCCTGAATTTAGATGAAATGGCTTTAGCTTTTCACCATTAAGTTGATGCTGGATGTAGATTTGTCATACACAGTCTTTATTATATTGAGGAATGTTCCATGAATTCCTAGTTTTTCCACAGCTTTTATCATAAAGGGGTGTTGGATCTTGTCAAAGCTTTTTCTACATCTATTAAGATAATCATGTGGTTCTTATCGGTGCTCTTGTTGATGTGATGAATTATATTACATGATTTGCATATATTGAACCAGATTTGCATCCCTGAAAAGAGTCCTGTTTCATTATGGTGTATGATTTTTTTGATGAGTTCTTGAATTCAAATGGCCAAAATTTTGTTGAGAAGTTTTGCATCAATGTTCATCGATGAAATTGGTCTATAGTTCTCTTTCTTTGATGAGTCCCTACCTGGTTTTGGGATGAGGGTTATGATGGCTTCATAGAAGGAGTTTGGTAGTGAACTTTCACTTTCAATTTCCCTGAAGTGTTGGAGGAGTATTGGTGTGAGTTCTGCTTTGAAGACCTTGTAGAATTCTACTGTAAATCTATCTGGTCCTGGGCTTTTCTTGAGGTCTCGTATTGCTGTTTCTCTTTCGATGCTTGATATGGGTCTATTACATTGGTTTAATTCATCATGATTTAGTTTTGACATGTCAATATTTGCTAGAAATTTGTCCATTTCTTCCAGATTCTCAAACTTATTAGCATAAAAGTTTGAGAAGTATTCCCTTATAATGTTCTGAATCTTGGTTGTTTCTGTGGTGATGTTACCATTCTCCTCATGAGTTTGTTTATATGGGTGTGTTCTCTTCTTTTTCTAATAAGATCTGCTAAGGGTCTGTCAATTTTGTTAATTTTTTTCGAAGAACCGTTTGTTTTGTTTATTCTATGGTGTTTTTGGACTCTAAATTATTTGTTTCTATCTACTGGATTGGAGTTTAGTTTGTTGCTCATTTTTAAGGAGCTTCCGGTACCTTGTTAAATGTTGGTTTCAATCTGTCCAATTTGTTGATGTAGGAACTCAGAGCTATAAATTTTTGCTGTGTCCAAGAGGAGCTGGTAATTTATGTGTTCATTTTTGTTAAATATCATGAACATTTGAAATTCCTTTCTAAACTCTTCTATGACCCACTGGTTGTTCAACAGTATGTTGTTCATCCTCCATGTGTTACAGGATTTTCTTTGGTGGGTTTTGGTGTTGAGTTCTCATTTTATTCCCTTGTCATCTGAGAGAATGGAGGGCATAACTTCAATGTTTCTGAATTTGGACAAGTTTGCTTTGTGACCTAAAATGTGGTCTATTTTGGAAAATGTTCCATGTGCTGCTGAGAAGAACTTGTATCCTGATTCTGCTGGGTGAAATATTCGATAGATGTCTTTTAAGTCTAGTTGATCTATGTCTGAGGTTTCTCTGTTGAGCTTTTGCTAGGCTGACATATCCAGCAGAGATTGTGTTGTGTTAAAGTCCCCAACACTTAATGTCTTTAGATCTATGTGTGACTTTAGGGAAATATTGTTTCTTGGATAAATTTGGGTGCTCTGTTATTTGGTGAATAGATATTTAGAATTGTAATATCCTCCTGAAGGAGAAATCCCTTAATTAGTATGTAATGACCTTCTTTATCTCTTCTTGCTAATTTTAATTTGAAGCTATTTTATCTGATATTAGGATTGTAACTCCTTCCTGTTTATGGGGCTGTTTGCTTGGTAGATTTTATTCCAGCCTTTCACTTTCATTATGTTTGCTTTTGTGGGCAAGGTGTGTCTCTTGACGACAGCAGATAGAAGGATCTTGCTTTTTGATTCAGCTAGTCAATGTCACTTAATTGGAGAGTTAAATCCATTGATATTGAGAGTTAGGACTGAGAGGTGTTTGGTAGTTCCAAATTGGTATTAATCTTCGGTTAGCCTCACCATACTCACACATTTCCCTATCATACTCACAGTGAGACCTTTGCAGACTTTCAAACTTTTTATTCAGCATGTTTACCAATAGAGTTTGTAGAGCATTTTGTGAACTCTCCTCTGGGTTATTCATTGACTGCTCTTTTGCCTGATTGTCATCAGAGGGAATTGAAATACCTGGACTTGCCATTTTTCTTGTGTTTCTGCTTGTTCTGCCCATTTGACTATGATAGCCAAACCGATGCTGAGCTGTAACACTATTTTAAGGCAAGCATCAACCAGAGCCCTGTAGTTACACAGATTGTTTAATGCAATCAAAATGGGTACAGATACAATCTACTTCAACACCAAACAGCTCGGTATCAATGGACTAAGAAAAATCAAGGGGTCAGCAGAACAAGAAATTAATAGTTTTGGGGAGAATTGTGAGAATAAAATAAGATTGGAGGAATGCAGGGAGGGAAAGTAAGAGAGCGATTCAGAAAAATGGGAGGGATAGCACAAAAGGAGAAGGGAGATAAAGAAAAAGATAACATAAAAATTAAAAAATATTATGAAATACTTAAAAATTAT